ACAGAGGTGTGCCGGATCAAATCCGATAACTTCGTATATTTCCAGATAACTTACCAGGAAGGTCTTTCAGGGCGTGCCAAGCTTTTTGAAAACGGTCTTTTGCATGATATAGGGGCACATGCGGGAACCACAGAACCATGGTTAATTTTTCCTGAACGGCCCTCTGAATACCAGAAAAGGGGGTCCCTAGTTCGATTCCTCGTGGTGACAAATTTTTGCATTTCGAGTTGACGTTCCAAAATTCGCGCAAAATGGAGTTAGCATGAATAATTAGTACCATATTCATGATTAGGACCGTCAGTAACCCTTACAAAAAGACTTTGATTAAAAACTGGTGAAAAAGGTGTGACACCAAGCAGCCCACTGTGGTGTCACACCTTTTTCACCAGTTTTTTAATCAAAGTCTATTTGTAAGGGTTACTGACGGTCCTAATCATGAATATGGTACTAATTATTCATGCTAACTCCATTTTGCGCGAATTTTGGAACGTCAACTCGAAATGCAAAAATTTGTCACCACGAGGAATCGAACTAGGGACCCCCTTTTCTGGTATTCAGAGGGCCGTTCAGGAAAAATTAACCATGGTTCTGTGGTTCCCGCATGTGCCCCTATATCATGCAAAAGACCGTTTTCAAAAAGCTTGGCACGCCCTGAAAGACCTTCCTGGTTAGATACTTAGACGACCCGTTGATCAGCACGGCGGTTGGCCTTGCGCGGGTCCCAACTTCTTTTCCATTGCTCGCGGTCTTGGGCTTTCGTTGTCCAGTGTACGGCCACCTTAAGGGACACAGGATCATACACGTTGTTTCTGTATGCCAAAGAGTCTGCCCAACGTAAAGGAGGGCGGCCAAGTGGCCGTTTCTTCTCGCGCGGATTCCACTGAGCAGTCTTCGAGCTTCCATGATACAGATTCAATTTAGGTTTTCTAGTACACATTTCCATCATGATTTACGCAATTCCATGTTCTGCTGCCCAAACACTCTTCCTCCACATGTTTTTACCAGGCGATTTGCCTGTGTAGATACGGTAAACGATCCAGTCGCACTCGTTCAAGTGATCCGTCGAGTGCGTTGACATAATTGTGTATGTGTTCAATTACGGTGGAATTCGATGACTGCCCGATACAACTGTGACTTCAAACGATAACACATTCCTTCTTGTGAATGTAAGAAAGAGTGCGAGGCCTTAATCAATCAGACACCTTTGCCGATTTCCCTTTGTAGTTATCACAGCACAAATGTTCCACAAATGGAATCGAGTTTGGGAGAAAGAGATAAGGTTGTGTGGTTTGAAAAGAGGGGCTTCAACTTGATGTTCAGAATGACTTTGAACTTTATTAGATGGATTCCGCAACTATACAGCATCCAGAAAAATTGACAACCACGAACTTTTGAGAGGGGTTGCGCCATGCGCATGACAACTGCTCAGAGTCATGATTCCGTTCGAGCTCCAGTGGTGCAGATTGAGGCCAGTAGATCTATTTGTCACCGTCTTTCTTTGCACGCATCATATCTATTAACAAGTCTTAACCTTTCTCGGATGAGCAGCGTTGCCCGTGGAGATGACTTTTCATGTGTTCATTTAGAGTTGCTCTCTTCAGCCAGCCCTCCCCGTTACCTAACCTCGTGCTGAAATATTAGAAAATTTTAATTTTGACTTGTTTTGTTTGTTAACTGCTGTTTTAACGCCGCAGTTCGCGTTGCGAATGTTTCACAAGAATGCTGGGTTGTGAACAAAACTTTCGCCCCAGGCGGGACTAGAACCCGCACCTCTCGCTTTCCGCCGGGCGAAACTTTGTTCACAACCAGCATTCTTGTGAAACATTATAAACAGCGTTGTTTAGCTACTGATAGCAGAACCCTTGTGAGCATGAGTGCGCGTTTTCGTAGTGTTCCATTAACACCTAGTAAATTTA